TAAATTCTTAAATAATAATAAATTTTAAGTAATTAATTATATTTAAGTATGAGAAATATAAAACATAAAAAATAATAATAAACAATATAAAACATATAAAATATAAAACATAAAAAAAGAATATTATTATTTTAATTTAGAATAGTTCATTTTATCATGTAAATAAATAATAATTTTATTAAAAATTAATAATATTTCAATTTAAAGCATTTACAATATATGTGAAAATATGTTAAGAGATTTTCTTAATTAATTTTTTAATTTATTTAATTTTAAAAGTAGGATGTAAGAATACACATGGAAAAATATAAAATAAAATTAATATATCCAATTTTTTATTTCATTTTTCATAATTTTTATTTATAAATAGAAGTAATATACTTATATATACAATAAGTTTATGTAAAATATTACAGAGAAAGAAAAAAATGAAAATTTAAAAAATGGCAATAATAAATTTATATAGAATAAATAAATATTTCAAATATAAAATTCATCAAATATAATATTTAATGGAATTTTCTGCAAATTTTAAATTATGCTGTTTTAATTTTAATAATATTATTAGTTCAACATTTCAAGTATATTTTATTTACTCAGAATAATATTATCTAAAAATAAAATAAATAAAAATGAAATTAAAATAAAAAATAAAAAATATAATAAAAAAATTGATTAAAAGTATTAAAAGATTAAAAGATTCAAAAAATGTATAATTTTATTTTATATTTATTATTTCTAATTAATAATTAATATAACACTTTTTTTACTAAAATATAAAAATATAATTATATATAATTAAAAAAATAATTGAATTATAATGTATAACAATATACATTAATAATTAATTTTTTATAATTATTTTTGATTTATAATATATTATCTTCTTTAAAAAAAGAAGATAAATAAAAAGAAAAAACTAGTATATAAAATATGATATATAAATATGTAGAATAATAAATTTCAATCTACATTTTATAATATATTTATATCCAAAAAAATATTGAAATTATTTTAATATTTTTTACTTTATTATGTCATATATACTTATGATTTGTTAACTTTAATTAATAATTTTTATAAAAAATGAAAATAATAACAAATTAAAAATTAATAACAAATTGTAATTATAATTTATAATTTATAATTTAAAAGAGAAAAATCAAGTATAAATTATATTGCATAATATATATATTATGCAATATATATTGCATAAATAAATACCTAGTGTGACAATAGATCTTCCTGTGAGTCCACAATTTTCTAATTTAAGCACATGTAAATGGCAGATTAATCGTAATGCACGGCTCAAGATATTTATGTATTGTTCATTAAGAATTACATCCTTAGCTTCAAAATGTTCTAAACATTGAGTCTAGATAAAAACAATGATTACATTAATTATACATTAAATAATACAAAGATCAATACAAATATTTAGTATCATTTCTAATTTTCTTAACAATCATTCTATATATAATAATTAATGAAATAATATAAAATAACATTTAAAACTAATAATATTCATATAAACTTCTTTATAATAAAAGAATATGTGTACCTTTTTTATCATATTTGCACATGCTTGCCAACCATGAATTCCAATGCTTTGATTAGATGAAATATTCAAATGCCTTGCAGATTCATAATATTCTAACATATCAAATAATATCACAGAACTCTATAATAAAAAAATTATAAATTATATTAAATAATATTTTAAAAGAAATAATTTTTGTTTTAATAAAATTTTTAATAAAATTTTAAATTAATAAAGATACCTCATCATTCAAAGATGTAGCTTCTAAATTAATTTTATTAAATTGTACTCTTTTGAAAATTTCCTCCAATGGTTCTGCATGATTAATATCTAATATCTGTCCTTTTAAATCTAATTCTTCATTTCGTAATTGAAATGTATCCAAATTCTATATTATTAATAAATATATCTTGTTATTTGCAATATCAAATGTATATAATTTCAATCAACAACTTTTCTAATTTTGTATATCTTAATTTTAATTAAAATAAACTTAAAATAGATTTTTTTTTTTTTTAGATCATATAATCACAAAATCATAAAGATAAAATCATAAAATTGATTCTTTTTACTTTTAAAAACAATTTCATATTTTCATATAATGTCTTAACATTTATTTCATATCTTTTCCAACTTAAATTAATTAAATATATATTTTTAAAAAATGCATTCTTACCTTAAGTTGATTTATAATAGTTTCCAAAGGATCTGAATTATGTTTTATACAAGATTCTTTGTATGCTAAGATTACATCTTCACAATTCACATTTTCAGCTGTGGATAATTAATCAACATATCATTAAATTAATAAAAAATTTTTAATTTTTTGACATATTAAAATGTACATGATTAATGAATGATGCTCCAGAATACTGTAAAATATATAAAACATAATATGTGATATTCAGTTTAGAAATGTTTTAAAAATAACTGAAAAAACTCACATAATTATATGCTTAATTTAGCCTTGTTTCTGAAATAATTAAATACAAATTTTATATTCAATTACATTATTTATAAAATAATTAATTCTTCATTAACGAATAAAAATATTAAAGTGATTAACATTTAGAACCTTTGCATTTTGTTAATCAAATGCCAAAAAATTGAGACCAAAAACTATCAGGTATCAAAATTTAATGACAAAATTTATAATAAATTTATAATAAATTTAATTTAATTATTTACTTGAAAATTAATAATATTATAATAAATTTCTCTATGTTGAAACTTATGTTTATATTTAGTTTGCATGAAAGTTTCTTATTCAAATGCATTCATTTGATTCAATACATTTTAGTTATCAATGCTATCAATATATCATCCTTTTTTTTTCTTCAATTATCAATGATATATTGATCAAGTGCATACAAATTTATATTTTCTCGAATTTGATAGTTTCTGATATCCTGATTTCCAAAGACTGATCAACAGGTATGTAAGGACATTGAAAACCTTTGTATCCTAAAAAAATTATATTGTATTATATTGATTATATTGGAATAATTAATTGAAAAATTATTATTTTAAAACTTCTTTATAATATTCAATAGTTAAAAATTATCATAAAACTTATTGTAATTTAAAATAAGGTTATATTAGACATATATATATTTATGTGAATTTTTTTGATTATTTTCAAATGTTAAATCCACCATCTCCATGCTAATCTTATATATTATGTTATTATCAAACCTATTAATAAAGTATTACTAATAACACATATTATGACATAATTTTAAACTTCAGTTTGTTATTTTGTTGTTTCTGAGTATATGTTTCTTAACACGTTCACTGCGGTGTTCATTGGTGACTCACCAAGTTTTTCATTTGTAGCAATGACTTGATCATTAACTAGTGTCTACATTTCCATTGAATGTTCACCTCTCTATCACAAGAAAGTAAGTTGATAAATTTGACCCTGGAAGCAGAGGATCAAGAAGAAATCAACTCTTCATCTTTTTTTTTAAGAAAAAAGCCAAATATTTGATATTTTATTTTATTCAATTAAATATTTTAATATGGATGTAAAATATATATCATAAATCAAAGATTTTCTGCAGAATATTATTCTTTTTAAAAAGTTAGCTTCCACTTTATTTTCTTATTTACAATTCCACAGAGAACGTATTAATACAATAATGTAAATAAAATGTTTTATAAAAATTAATGATTAAATATTTTAGAAATACTATGTCATAATTTACTTTCAATTCTCATGTAATACTTTTTTTTAATAGATAAATGTATTTAAAAAAAATATATGTATAAAACAATATAAATATAAGTTAAAATATAAATGAATGAACAACAAATTATATTACACATAATATAATTTTATATATATTATTCTATTTAAAATGATCAAGTTTACAAATTATGATTAAAATAATGATTAACTTTAAAAATAAAATAATTTATAGAAGTTATGATATCTTAAGAAAATTTAAGAGAATTGTATATACATATATTGTACATATTATTGTAGATATTTTAATATTGCATCAAACTTATAATTAGTATATAGTTCACATTGTGAAATCTTAAATGATCTACATCTGGCATGATCTATAAAAAACTCAATGACTTAATAATATATTATAACTATTCAAATAAAAAATAATATAGATAAATTACACAAAATAATTATGATTGATAATATTTATGAATAATAATATTTTCAAAATAAAATTTGAATAAATTACTTCAGCAATTTAAACAAATGTTAATATTATCAAATAAAAAAAATTTCCATTTGAATACATAATTAAATATATATATATAAAAAAATTAAAAATCTAGTTATATTAAAAGAATGAATAAGATCAAATAATAATATAATTAAACAAAAAATGAAACAATTTTATAATATAATATTTTATAAATTTTATACTTATAAAAATATATTTGATTTTAGTTTAATACAATAGTTTAATACAAAATAATTAATACTTAAAATAACAATTTTTTTAAAAATATAATTAATATAATAAATTTAAATTAATTTTGAAAAATACAAATTTTCTATAAATATTAATTATAATATTAATATATATTTTTTATTAATGTCAAAAATCATATTTTTTTATAAATTATTAATTTCAAGTGATAATTTTTTCTTATTTAATAAATCATTTGGAAAGTTCAATGAAAAATAATACAAGTACACTTTTTTAAAGAAATTAAATATATTCAATATTTATATTTAAATATGTACATAATAAAAAAATAGTGATGTTTTTTAATAATAACTAAATTAAGTGTTTCAATATTTGAAAAAAAAAATATTTTTATTAAAATTTACCATTCTTTATAATTGATATTATTCTTTGTATTATTTTTATTCTAAATTTATTGTTTATTATTAAATATATAATTGTTTATTATTGTTTATTATTATAAATATATAATTTTTAAGATATTATAATATTGTTAAAATAATATTTACTTTAACAAAATTTTATGAATTTTTAAATAATAATATAATATCTATAATATTTTAATTTATAAATGATTTTTTATATTATATTATATAATAATATATTATATAAAATAATTTGAATATTTTCATTAATTAATCGTTTATAAAATAAATTTTGCTTTTTTAAATATAAAAGATATTTAGTTACACATTCTTTTATTTATGTTAATAGATTAATCAATATTACAAATTTAAAAACACTTATATTCATATATCTATAAATTAACTTAATAATAATTAAAATATTATTAAAGACAAAGTATAGATTCTTGAATAATTAATATATATTTATTGATCAGTACAAAATATAAACTTTCAAAAACTATCAAACTGGAATGAATAAATGATCATAAAACTGATGCGATATACATTTATCCTCACCGAATTTCCACGGATTGGCCGGCTCCAAATATCCCGTAATCAAATGATTATCATTTGTTGGAAAACTAACACGTCGAGGAAGCTTTTTTTTGCTTAATGCCAAGGAACTTCGCAATTTTCTTCCATCAATTAAAATGTAAGGCGAAAGCGGAACATTGCCTGTACCAAATCGTGATCTTCTAGTAACATGCGAAATTATTCTTGGAGGAAGTTCTTCAGGATCGACCTCATCCTTCAAGGTCGTAAGCGAATTCTCGCAGATTTGCGATATTGAATTCGCTCCTTCGCTCATATTCAACAAATTTTTAACATATTTTATAAAACAAAATTTACTTTGTATAAATACGCACACGCATGCACATACACACCACACAATATGTTAATGCGACTATTTCATAAAATCGTCAATGCACGTATCAAAGCAAACATCAACTACTCATACGTTAAATCCGCCATCTTTATTACTGTTGACAACTATAAAACTTAATTGCGTCTAGAACGAACTGTAATTAAACTTATTTTATTTGATATAATTGAATTTATTATATATCACTAATATTATTAATTCTTTATTTATTTATTATTTTTTTAATTAAACTTTGGAAAAAACATTAATATTTTCGAATTTTTTTATATATTTTTATAAATTTTAATGTGTAGAATCTAAAAATGACAGTTTTAATAATCAGAATTCAATGATTTAAAAATTATTTACATGCAAATTTTAGATTTTTGGAAATTTTTTGTGAATTATATGACACTATGTATACTCATGTTGGAACTTTTGCCAATTCGATTAAATGATAAAAACATTAACGCGCCAAATTCAAATTATCTTTTAATTAAAAAATTCCATGTTGCTATGTTGATTATATAATTTAATTACTCTACTCTCAAATCTATCTTTGCTAGATTTTCCAAATTCTTGATATAAATTTTATCACAAAATATTATCAAATTCGATATAAGATTCAGTTATCAAGTTATATTAATGTGGTATCAAAAATATATCAAAATTTATATCAAGACTTATGTCAAATTTACATTAAAAATATATCAAATCTTTACAATAAAAATATTTTTGCTATATATCTTTCACATCTTAAGTTGGCTATAGTATATTGTACAACCATATTTTTTATAACTTTATGAATTTATATAATAATATAATATATTTTTATAATAATTTATGCATATTCATGATATATATAAATTATTTTTCATTTTTTAATTAATACTATTATTACTATTTAATTTTTTATTATATAATTATTTAATATTTTTAATATTAATGTTTTTTGTCTAATTTTCTTTTTCATTTATATATTAAACTCTATTTTTGATGCAAATTTGGTATAAAATTTAAAGTTCCAAGCAAAATTGTCATTTTTAAGATAATTGAGGAAGAAATTAGTATAAATAATAAATTTTCTATGTTATCATATTATAAATTGTAGATAAATAAAAAATAAAGATTATTTACAATTAGATATGATATTGATAATTGAAAATAAAAATAATGTGATATCATTTCATCAAAAGGAACTTTATATACTTATAAAATTTGATAAATTAATACATAATGTCAATATAGATAGATATAGTTTTATAGAAATTTAGTGCTAATTTGATATTATCTTATAACCAAATTGTTTACTAAGAAAATAATCACAATATTAATCATTAAATTATTCAAATTGTTTTTTGAATAAAGAATTCAAATTATATTGATTATTTAAGCACAATTCAAATTGAATAATATACTACTTAACATTAGCGTAATTAATATTAATCTTATAACAATCTTATAACAATTGAAATTTAATTTTAATTCAATTTAATTCAGTACAAGTTTATAATTCAATTTAACTTACAAAATGACTAAATGCAAAAAATATTGTTTATAAAATTTATATATATATTTTTTATTGAAAAAATAATTACATATTATAGTATTAATTGTATATATAAACTTTGACGTAATTTGAATTTGGCGCTTTTTTCCAAAGTTCAACCGTAATTTATATAATACAAGTTTCCCCTAAATGAATATATCTTTAGATGTAATTAATTGAATTATAAGAACATTATAAAAAATTATAAGAATAAGAATAAGAATAAAAATAAAAATAAAAATAAAAATAAAAATAGATTTTCCTTTGTATAAGTTTTGTATAAATATAACAAAATTTTTTAAAATGAAGTTTCATTTATAAGAATAAATTTATTTTTTAAAATTAAAAATAGCAAATATTATAAAACACAGATATTCATTATTTGTATACTATAATATATTAATTTAATATATAAAATATAAAATGAAAATAATTTAATACATATACATATATATATATATATATATATATATATCTTAACTAGCTATACATATGCAAATAGTTATTCATCTTTTTTCATATTATAAAATTACGTATTAAATTTATATAACCTATAACTCTTTTTGAATTTTACACTAAGTCAAAAATGGAAACTATTTTACAAAAAAAAATAATAGAAGCGACTCATTGCGTTGAGAAACAATTAGATGCTGAGATAGAAAAGTTAGATAATTTGGATATTAGCGATTTTGAAAAATTGCGTGAACAACGTTTTAAGAAATTAAAATTACTTCAACAACAAAAACAAAATTGGCTATCATTGGTAAAATATAATTTATAAATTTTATAATTTTATCATATGTTCAAATCACCGCTTGTGTGATTTAATTTTATTTATAATATAAACTGAACATTACTATTGATATTATTGATAGGACACATGATGTATGCATATTTTAGGGTCATGGGGAATATTCAGAATTATATGATGAAAAAGAATTTTTTGAAATATCAAAAAAATCGGAAAACATTGTCTGTTTATTTTATAAAGATGATTCACCAAGATGCAAAATAGTAGATTATCACTTTAAAATTCTTGCAAAGAAACACATAGAAGCAAAGTTTTGTAAGTTGAATGTAATGCAATGTCCATTTTTAACTGGTAAGTTTTAATTATCTTCTTTCTCTCTATTGAAATTCTTTAAATTTCAAAATATTTAATAATAATTCTAATAAACTGAATATTTCCAGAACGCTTAAGGATCAAAATTATTCCTACTATTGCTCTTATTGTTAATGGTAAAACTAAAGATTATATTGTGGGATTTACTGATTTAGGAAATCGTGATGATTTTTCAACTGAAATATTAGAATATAGAATTTCACTTTCTGGTGCAATTACTTTTGAAGAGAACATTTCTTCAGAAGATAATAAAAAATCATGGTTGTCTCATATTTCAAAACCTAAAACTATTAAAGGACCTAATGATTCAAATTCTGACGATTCAGATGAAAATTAAAAATTCACAACAATTTATATAATTTAAATTCTTAAAAATTTATTCTTTATTATTTATAAATTTTTGTTTATATAAAAATTGTTAATGGAATAAGAATTTGCAGTGATTAAATAAATAAAGATAATTTTAATATACAAAATAATCATATACATTTATGTATATCTATTAATATTATATCTATTAATATCTAATAATATTTTTACAATATAAAATTTTATTT